AAAAAAAAAAAGGGGGTAAATTCGCGGAAAACCCAAATTTATGGGCCTACGCTACAACTGGCGGGCTGGGCCTTGTTCATTAAAAAATTATAAAAAAAAAAAAAGGGAATGGCGGGGGCAAGCCTCTGGGTTTTCTGAAACCGAGGCGGCTTCACTTCTGTCCATCTCCTTCCTCCTCCGTGCACCGTAACGGCGGGGCATGATAGCATCTCCAACGGCGGCGACATCACTTTGGTTTATCAGAAAGAGGATTACCAGATTCATAATGGAAAACCAGAAGGTTTATGTTCACTATAACCACACTGATTCTTGCAAAGCTGCTCGATGGACTGCCAAGTAATCCTTTCCCCTTCTTTTATCTCTGATTTCATCTTCATCTCGTTATTTGCTTGCATTCATTTCTTTTTCTTATTATTTTTAATTGTTTTGGATATGGTTATTTATTGATGCAGCAGAAGATGCTGTATGTTGCTTACTTCCTGGTTAGCCCAGATGGATTCTGAGTCAACTCGTTGGTTTCTTGAGTTCTAGCTTTAGGGGAATGTTTTTGGTTGAGTTCTGAGTTGACCCAGTTAATTGTTAGAGCATGATTTATAAAGAAATGGCTTGAATTGTCATTTTGGGTGGTTAATATCATCAAATAGTTATTTGGAATGTGAGAATATCTTTTATCTTTGTTTGGCTCAGTGTATGTTATTCTGGATTTTGACAGGGAAAGCTATCAATTCATGTCAGCCAGGGCGTGGGAGGAAGTTCTTGTTTTTTATTCAAATGTGGTGAAGGGGCGATTGTCATTGTCACAGTTGTTTGGCACCAAGGTGAGCCAATGTCTTAACTCGTGAGAATAGAAATAAAGTGTTCATCTAATGGAAAGAAAAGGAAGTACGAATGATCTATTCTTTGAATCTGGCAATGTTTGTTTTCTGAGTAATAACATGTACCAAATGACATGTTAGGATGCTTCAATTGAATGTTGGATGCCGTGTTATATGGCTTTGAAGCAATACCCTTTTTTTTTTTTTTTTTTTTTTAAATTTTGTTTGGCCAATTACCCCATAATGTCTTTTACTCAAACTGGATTTAGATATCTTTTTCTTCAGAAAGAAAACTAGGTTTAGATCAACTTCAGAGAGTGCTTTTTCTTTTCTTTTTTTTTTTCTTTGGAGTGGGGTTGGTTGTACTTTACCTTCAGCATGTGTACTGGTCCATGAGAGGAAGATACCGTAGGAACCATTTTGAACATTCTTCTTGTTCCTTCCCCAACCAACTATATCAGTTTCCACGGTACCTAGTTCTTTGTGGGTCTTTTTCTTCATTTATGTTTGCTCTAAAATTTTTTTCTGCAGA